ATCTCTCCAGCCTCTCTAAGACTCTTCTTTAAACTGAAATAAAATTTGGCCACAATTGTTTTTGGTTTTGGGGTTTTTTTAAAAGGTATTTAGTACAGGGTGTTCAGGGTCTCACTACATAGGTCGGACTCGTAGTGATCTGCCTGTTTACAGCCTCCTAAGTGCTGGAATTATAGGCGCGCTACCATGCTCAGTGCCCGTCTCAGCTCGCCCTGAGGGCAGGGCCTGCACATTTCCTGGCCCCTGCGCCTGCTTGCAGGCGCTTTAATCCACTAAGCTATTTGGCCAGCTCTCAGACTTTTATATTTTTAATTAATTAATCATTTTTTTTTTGAAAGAGCTCCACTATGTAGCCCAGATTGGCCTTGAATTCACAGCAGTCCTCCTGCTTCAGGGTCCTGAGTGCTGGAATTAAAGGCATGCAGTACACTGTATATATTAAGGGTACAATTGGACAAGGTCTGTTAAATGTGTCCATCTGTATCATCCCGTAGTAAGTATCCCTTCTTGTGCCAGTTACTTGTTGAAGAGATCTGTTCAGCTCTGTAGAATATTGCATATCTTGAATATATATGCCTGCTTTCTGTGGAATCATTTGCATTATTCCTCTATTGCCCATATTTTCTTTAAAGCACAGGTTGTTCTGAAGTCTTAATTTGATTCAGGTTCACATTTTTGAGGAAGTAAAGAGTGTGGCTCAGAAGGCCAAGTTTTGGGACCCAAGAGAATCATGTAGAATCCTTTACTACTCCAGACCATTGACCTGCAACAAATTCCATTTGCCTTTGTCCTGGCCAGACCCTGTCTGTAGAGGCCTGGGGAAGCATGTACAAAAGGGACTCAGTTCCGGCATAGTAGTGTGTGTCTGTAATCCCAGCACTCTGGGAGGCTGGCAAGAGGAGCACAAGTTTGAAGCAGTCTGAGCACCTCAACAAAACCCTTTCTCAAAATCTTAAAAACATTAAAAAGCCAGGGGAGGGCTGGGCATATGGTGTAACGTAAACGTCCTGGATTTAATCCCCATTACTGCAAGGAGGAAACATTGTGACCATGTTCTTCTTGACACTGCTTCCATGTATTGATTGCTAGGGGGAATCCGGACGTCACGTGGTCTACAGACACGGCAGCTTGCCTTTGCAACCCATAGTCCAGGTGCAT